TGCAATAAATAGGAATAGTCTACCCTGGAAAAATATTTCTTCTGTTTTTTTTTTCTGCTGTCAAATTTTTTGGAAATTTTTCAAAGGAGACTTCGAGTTGGGACGGTTTTTGCAGCGAAGAGGCGAATGGAGAAGATGTGAAATAGTAACATGATTTTTAAAAATTTTTTTTAGTCTTAATTTTTTAAGAATTTTCTTAGTCTTAGTTACTTGTAAAAAGAAATAATAGAACAATAAAAAAATATTTTTGGTCAAACTTACTTAAATTTGTTAGTATTTCACAGCAGAAATAATACGAAAAACGCTGAGTAATTCATTAACTATTCGTTGTCAAACACGAATCTGTAATCTTTTGTGCAACTATTTATAAACTTTTTGCTCTTCGTCATAGACGATTAGTTTACGGTTGATAACTATCTTTTATTTGAAACATGAATTTGGTTAACTTCTTTTTGTCGACGTTTTATAGTTTACAATTTTCCTTTTTGATAATAACAGCTCACAACACTGATACCGTAAAAGCTCATAATAGTAAACAAAAACTTATATTACTTACAGAACCTACGCTTTTTTTTTCAAAATTAAGGCAGCTGCAGGGGTCAGATTTATATATTTCATGATACGCTGAGACTAATAGTGATAAACTTTCATAAGGTTTTTCAAAGAAATCCTTTATTCTATTTCACTTGAAGTTGTAATTCTTAGTAAGATTGCAATAGATTTCTGAAGTGTCTCAAAACTGAATGCTCCACAGACTTCAGCTATACCTGCAGCTCAAGAGCGCGTAAAAAGTTATTTAGACGATTAGCAGTAATTAGCTCAGGCTATCTGTTCTGTACCTGTTTGATAAAAGTAACAGGAAAAGACTTATAGATAAAATTGGCTCAAAACAAATGCGCTCAAACGTTTATGATTTCAGGATAGAAAAAAAATTAACAACAGCTCATTATTCCTTACAAATTTTATCTAACAACACGAAATCACCAACTTTTGAAGCGTTTATTCTCTACCCAAATCCGTCTTCTCCCTCGCATTCTTCGGAAAAAAACCTCAGAGACGGGAAGTAACTGAAAAAAAAAAAATTACAGGTAGAATCGGCAAGAAGTAATCGTGCAGTTTTAGAATTCATCAGTAGTGAAAAATATTAGATCAATCTAGCATACTTATCAGTGTTTTATACATTCATTTTTTT